TGCTAATTTTTGAGCCATGAGCAATTTTTAGCAGAACGAATGTTTGTTTTTGAATCTTTCTGATCGTGTTACGTTACACATTTACAATGTGCAGATTTACGGTGATTTACGCGTACTTTAATTACATATTGATACGTACATATAATTGATAAGCACTTATATGTCACTTATCTATTTAGCGTGGGATGTGACGAATCATTGACAACAAGGTGGTATATCCTCATGACAAATTAAAGAGGAGACCTAATCCTTTACAGGTAAATGTTTAGGGTTTAGGGCGAGCATTGTTCTTTTTTCGTGTGGGGTTATTGAAAATATCATTGTGTCGAAAGATTTTTTTCTTTTACAAACTGTACGTACCATCATGATTTCCACGTGTCCGTCCAAATTTGTATACTAATTTACAATTATGTACATATATTAACTGATGCATATTAATATGAAATGATCATCACGGACTTAAGTCATAATGAATTACGGAAATTCTTCATGAATTAAAAAATATCATATGAACAAGTATTATAAATTTATTTTAGGTTCTTATTTATTTAAATGATTTATGTATTACATTTAACGTTCTAATAAAATATGGGTGTTGTCAAGGGATTTATTTTATTTTGGATTTCTTGAGTTATATTTTAACTATTTTTAACTTAATACTTAAGAGTATTGGATCTGTATCTTTCTTTCTGATTGATGCCCGATCTTTTAACAATTGAAATTAATATTTAAGAACAAATTATTAGATTATATTGTTGATCTAAAAACGAATTTCTTTTACGATAATTATAATAACGACATTAATTAATATTATATAGCTTATTTAAACATTAATATAAGTAAACAATCAAATTAATAATTAAAATAATAATAAATTAAATCAATATGTCTAAAAATTCTCAAGATCTTACTCCTGAACCAAAATTAATGCAAGACGATTTGGCGTCTCTGCCTACAACTGATGTCAAAGAAGAGGAAATTGACTTTTCTGTGGTAGATGCATTACCACAACAAAAAATTGATAATTCTGAAAAATCTATAATTACAAATAATGATGATTTGAAAAAAGTGAAAAAACTGAATCAAAAGAAACAAAAAGAAAAGGCCGCTGCAGTTTCGTTCTTTAAATTGTTTAGATTTGCTACTCCTCTTGATATAATTTTTATTATAATTGGTTCTCTTTCATCCTTGGTAATTTTCTATTTTTCCAATCTTTATTAGTATTCTATTAGACCTTCTTTTTGAATTTTGCTTTTTTTTTATTATATAGGCTTTAGGTTTCGCTATTCCTGTCATGACAATTATATTTGCTGACTTCATTAACAGTTTTTTTTTATTTGAATTACAAAAAAATACTTGTTTCCCAATTTGTAAGGATGTAGCAGTGCAAGGTTTAGACGATAATGTTAGAACTAATGCTTTTCACTTTATTATATTGGGTGTTATCGTTTTTACTGTTGGGTACTTGCAAATGTCTTTATGGATGATTTCTGGTGAACGTCAAGCAAATGTCTGTATTAAAATCATTCTCTTTATTATTTATTTCATTTGTTTTTATTATTTATTTCATTTAGTTTTATCATCCGCTTCATTTTATCGCTTCACTCGTTCTAATTTAAATTTATTCTACTTTTGTTTTAAAAGAAACTTAGATTAATATATTATTCCGCTATCCTTCGTCAAGATATCACGTTTTTTGATACTGTATCGACGGGTGACGTCACTACCCGTATATCTGGTGACATTGCTCTTTTTCAAGAAGGCATCTCTGAAAAAGTTGGTCAAGTTTTACAATTTTCTGCTATGTTCTTTGGTGGTTTTATTATAGGTTTTGTAAAAGGTTTGTTTTAAATCTTGTATCATAAATCTTATATCATAAATCTTGTATCATAGTCAAAATTTCTTTCTTATTCGATTTTTTTTTAGGTTGGAAATTAACTCTTGTCCTTTGTTGCGTGTTTCCTTTACTGGCTGCTGTTGGTGGATTTATGACGAAAGCCCTGGATAAGGGAACTACTGAAGGTTATTGTTTGATCAGTTCTTGTTGGAAATTTTGATTTTCTAGTTCTACTTTACTAAAAATATTTCTTGATATAACAGGACAAGGTATGTTAATATTACTACTATCACAATATCATTAATATCTCTTGTACTTAATTTATTATTATTATTTTTGAAACAGATGCATATGCAGTTGCTGGAGGTATAGCTGAACAAGTACTTTCTGGTATAAGAACAGTGATTGCATTTGGTGGTCAAAAACATGAAGTTGAACGTTATACCGTGCAATTAGAAAACGCGTATATTATGGGAAGGAAAAAGGCATTTGTTAGTGGTTTAAGTCTTGGACTTCTTATGTTTACTATGTTTTGTTGTTATAGTTTGGCTTTTTGGTATGGCAGTATTTTAATAGTAAATCATGAAATGACTGGTCCTGGAATTTTGAACGTATTCTTTGCTGTTTTTATTGGAGGTATGTTTATCTAGCTTTTTAGATCTTTTAATATTCTTTTTTAACATTATATCTTTTAATATTCTGTTTTAACTTTATATATTTTAATATCATATTTTAACTTTATATCATTTTTATTTTTGAAATCTTAGTCTTGTGAATTGATCTTTTTTTCTTTTTTTTAATAAGCTTACTCCATTAGTAACGCCGCACCTCGTTTTACTGCTATAACAAACTCTATGGGTGCTGCTGCTAAATTATTTGAAGTAATCGACCGCATTCCTATTATTGATTCAACTTCTCCTAATGGTCAAGTCATTCAAAAATCTTCTTCTCAAGGTCGCATAGAATTTAAAAATGTCTCTTTTCATTATCCAACTCGTTCAGATGTTCAAGTTTTAAAAAACTTTAACTTAATTATCGAACCTGGTCAAACTGTTGCATTGGTTGGTAGTTCTGGAAGTGGAAAATCTACAATTGTTAATTTATTAGAAAGATTTTATGATCCTACTAGTGGTTCTATATTACTTGATGATGTAGATATTAAAAATATTAATATTAAATCATTGAGAAGACAAATTGGTTTAGTTGGTCAAGAACCTGTATTATTTTCTGAATCTATTAAAGTAAATGTTGGATGGGGTGGTGATCCAATGGAATCAGATCCAACTTTGGATGATATTATAGAAGCTTGTAAAAAATCAAATGCTCATGATTTTATAAATGAATTACCTAAAAAATATGATACAATTGTAGGAGAAAAAGGCAGTTTACTTTCAGGTAAAACTTTAATATATATCATTAACCTTTTTTTCTAAATTTATTAACTCTATTATTATATATTCTTATTATTAAATATATTCTTATTATTAAATATATTCTTATTATTAAATATATTCTTATTATTATATATTCTTATTATTAAATATATTCTTATTATTAAATATATTCTTATTATTAAATATATTCTTATTATTA